TCCCCAGTTATTGAAGTTAAACTTAGAATTCAAAGGTTCTTTGCTTCCCCTCGATTATGCACACATGCACATCCCCTAGGACACATACAGAGACTTAGAAATGTAAGTCTTCTTGGAAAATAAAAGATTTTTATGATCCTGAGTTTAATTTTAATCATAAGGAAATAAAGCAAGCACTATTTCCCATTGCCAATCACCTGAGCCATCTCTGAAGTCATTCTATATAAAACAACTTTTTTTTTTTTTTAATTGTGTCCACTCCCAAGTTGCCAAAAACTCCTGGTGTGGGTATTCTAAGTCCCCAGTGCCTCTGTGGGTTCTGTGATTTTTTTTTTTTTTTTTTCCCATCCCTCCTTCTTTCCACAAACCTCTTTTGTATTTCTATGAGTCCTCTCCTCTCTCTTTCTCTGCCAGCTAAGCGGGTTTGTTTATTTTTCCCAGTTGTTTAATCTGCTCTTCTTCTCCACCTTCACTAAATCTGAAACTTAAGCTTCTCTTTAGTTGCTCATAACTCCAGTATCATTATTTCTATCTGCTTTACCTAGTTATTATGGGATTAATACCAGGGATTATGTTGCTCGAGGGAACAAATGTGTGGGTTTGGGGTACAACATCATCTTCCCACTCCACATAAAACAACTTTTCAAACAACTCTATAATAACTAGCAACATAAAACAGTATTTCAAACTCCACTGGTTTTCTTAAGAGGAATGCTGTGAATTGAAGAGACTTATAAGGACTGATTTTCATACAGTAAAAATTTAAAAAGCTACTTTATCGGAATTTTTATTAAAACAAATTTTCATCTTAGTGTTTTATATTACAACCCTCTCTTTATGCTTTAATATAGACCAATTTCAATGTAATCTGCTTACGAAATGAAAAGGGGCAGCATCATAAGCACATTTAATGTGGAAGACTACCTTAGATACTGTCAGGATGCTCACATCAGTAAGACAACCAATCTCTAGGAGCTTAGAGAAACATAGACATACATGACTAAAAAAGCACAGACATACATGACATACAAAATAGAATGTGATTAAAATAAAGCATACTAAAGTGCTATAACATGCAAAGGCATCTATTCCAACATACTTGTTCTATATACAAGAACAAGGAGGCTGAAAGATGTCATAAAACGAGATAACACAGAGTCAGGAAAAGCAGATATCTATCTTGTTCCTAACTCCAGTGTCTTTCACTCTACCACACTCTCTAATCTTTTTCCTCTTTACTTTTAATGATAATAAAGAATAACACTGTTCAAATTTCTCTCTCTCTCTAATGTATTGGAAGAAAGATTGGGCAATCTACTTCTGTAGTGATACAACCTCGGAAACCCAAGGAGGGGTCGCTATGAATTGGGATTGATGTATAAAACATTCAACTTATCTCAAGCATCTTCTTTTAAACATATTCTCAATATCTGAAGAAATATAACTCCACAGACCCTACTATTTTGAATATGACTTATTAACACTTATTGAATGCTTATTATGTGTGAGGAGTCCCTGGGTGATACAAATGGTTTATCGCTCAGCTAAGCTACTTATCAAAAGGTTGGCAGTTTGAATTCACACAAAGGCACCTCAGAAGAAAGGCCTGGTGATCTACTTCTTAAAGATCACAGCCCCTGAAAACTCATGGAACACAGTTCTACTCTGACAGACACGGTGCTGCCATGAGTTGGAATCAATATCAGAATTTTTGGTGGTAACTGGTTGATTACTATATGCCAGGCCATTGTGTTATGTGCTTTGTGAGTATCTCATTTAATCCCCACAACATTATCAAGTAGGGACTATTATTATGTCCATTTTGCCAGTTAAGGAACTAAGGCACAATGGTAAGTGATTACTCCAAGCCTAAGGCATCTGACAGCTAACCAGAAGGCTAGTGGTTCAAACCCACCAGCCACTCCTCAGAAGGAAGGTTGGGCGATCTACTCTCATAGTGATATTGCCTCAGAAACCTAAGGATGGGTCGCTATGAGTTAGAGCTGACTCGATGGCAGTGAGTTTGGTTTTTTTGAACATAGCTAGAAATGGTAGATGTTGCTTGACTCTAGAACCTGCTCTTAAATCAGAATGGACTCTATGGCAACTGGATTGGCTTTCATATATTGCCTACTCAAGCCAAACCAAACTCACTGCCATCGAGTTGATTATAACTCATAGTGACCCCCCCCCATTAGGTATCCAAGGATGTAAATTTTTATGGAAGTAGATTGCCTCATCTTTCTTCTGTGGAGCAGCTGGTAGGTTTGAACCACCTGCCTTTTGGTTAGCAGCCCAATGCCTTAACCACTATACCACCAGCACTCCTTATACAGCCTAGTGGGCGGGGGGGAAGTACACATTTTAAAATTAATATTTGGAACTCAATGATGGGCCTATAATCTAAACTGGAAAATAATAATGATTTTCTAAATTGCACTTAAAGAATCTGCTTAAATTATACTATGTCATGCTATTCTTACACATGGGGAAGTAAAAGGCAATTTTCCAATTATGCTCATAAGAACTTCACATAAGAAATTCTGAAATAATAAAGAAAAACAAATCAGAGCACAAAAGTCAGAACATAAGCCAAACAGCATAAATATACTTAAAATTTAATTATCCAAAGAGAAATTTCCTCATACAGGTCAATAGATTTTTATTTTTTTAATTATTTTGATGACAGGGGAAAAGTATGTCAGCAAATTACCAAAAGACTTAACACCTAAAAAGTACCTAGGATCTAGGACAGAAAAAGGAGCTCTGGTAGCATAGTGGCTAAAGCACTTGACTGCTAACCAGAAGGCTGGTGGTTCAAACCCACCAGCCACTCCTCGGAAGGAAGGTTGGGCAATCCTACTTCTGTAGTGATACTGCCTTGGAAACACAAGGAGGGGTCGCTATGAGTCGGGGCCGACTCGACGGCACATAACAACAACAACAACAAAAGGACAGAAAAATACAAATATCCAATTTTGATTTCTCATGAAACTGGTAAATGCTAATTGGCAATGACATAGGGACAGACATATCAATAGAATAGAATTGAGAGTTCAACAATAAACCCTGACATCTATGGTCAAGTGATTTTTGACAAGGTGTCATGACAATCCAGTGGTGAAAGAATAGTCTTCAACAAATGGTGTTGGGACAACTAGATATCCACATGTAAAAGAATGAAGTCGGACCTCTTCTGTCACACACAAATATTAACTCAAATGGATCACAGATCAAAATGTAAGAGCCAAAACTGTAATATTATAAAATTCTTAAAAGAAAATATAGGAGCAAATCTTTGTGACTCTAGATTAGACAATGGTTTCTTAGATACAACACAAAAAGCACAAGAAGCAAAAGAAAAATTACAGAACTGGATTACATCAAATTTTTAAACTTTAATACTATAAATGATACCATCAAAAAGGTGAAAACACAATGCACAGAAGGGGAAACAAATATTAGCAAATCATGTACCTGATAAGGGTTCAGTATCCAGAATATATGAATCATTTACAACTCAATAATAAAAAGACAAATAACTCCATTTAAAATGGGCAAACAAAACTCTCTGAGTGGCGCAAATTATTTGTGCAGGGCTGTTAATTGAAATGTTTGGGGTTCAAATCCACCCATCAGTGCCACGGAAGAAAGGCCTGCCAATCTATTTCTCTAAAAATTATAGCTATGGGGGAGAGATGAGCAAGGTTATTAATAGATATTTCTCCAAAGAAGACACACAAATGGCCAACGGTCAAAACCACAGCAAGATACCACTTTGAAACACATTGCTTTTGGGTTGATTCCAACACATAGTGACTCCATGTGTTTCAGAGCAGAACTGTACTCCAGAGGGTCTTCAATGATTGTTGATTATTTGGCAGTAGATCACCAGAACTTTCTTCCAAGGAGCCTCTGGATGGATCTCCAATCTTTTGGCTAGTAGCTGAGCACCTGAGTGTTTGCATCATACAAGACTACTAATATTACTTTACACCGACTAATGAAAAAAAAATTTTTTTTAACTAGTTGCCATTCAGTTGATTCTGATTCATGACAACCCCACGCGTTACAAAGTAGAACTATACTACATAGGGTTTCCAATGGATGTGACCTTTCAGAAGCAGATCACCAGGCTTTTCTTCCAAGGTGCCTCTGGGTAGGTTCGAGCCACCAACCTTTCAGTTAATAGTAGAGTGTTTAACCATTTGTGCCACAAAGGGACTCTATACAGTTCCATATGACACTCCTATCAGGTATGACACAGATTATTTAGCAGAAGGCTAGGGCAAAAGTCAATCTCTCTTTGGGCAAGATCAAATTCTTTACTACACAGCCATGTAACTAACATCTAGTAGTTAGAGCCAGAGATGCTGCTAAACACCCTATAACACAGAGGACAGCATCACAACAAAGAATTATCTAGCCTAAAATGTCAATACTGCTGCAGTTGACTGGCCTATAGCAATTCATTCAAGTTACTGGACAGCACACCATTCATTTATCCTCTCTCAAAATCAATCACAAGTTAGTTAGTATTTAGCTTCTACCAATACTAAATACTTAGCCTATACCAATGTTAAGTCTCTGATACTCTAATACTAATAAGTAGCCTCTACTATACTATTTGGGAGCTCTGGTAGCATAGTGCCTAAGGCACTTGACCGCTAACCAGAAGGCTGGCACTTCAAACCCATCAGCCACTCCATGGAAGGAAGTTGGGGCAATCTACTTCCATAAAGATTTACTGCCTCAGAAACCCAACAGGGATCCCTGTAAGTCAAAATTAACTCAATGGCAGTGAGTTTGGTTTTGGTTTTTGACTATACTATTTACTAAGGTAACTTGGAATTACAATGAAAATGGCTTTTTCTTAATAGGTTATAAAATAAATATGAAACTACATGAAATAAAAGCATAGATGCACACATACATATTTTTAAAAATAAAAAATACATATTACACTTAAATATAAGAAGAAAGAAAAAGAAAGCACTTACTGTAAAAATGTTCTAAATTCTGAAGCTTCAAAGTTCTCCAGAACAGGCTCACAATTTGTTAAATTGTTTGATGTTTTTCCAACAGTATAATAATAGAAATCAGGAACTCTTGCTAAAAGGACTGCTTTGTGTGCTTTGAACAAAGTACAACCTATATGGAAAGTAACATCTGTATGGATTTCTTCCCTTAGAAGTCTGTAAGGAATAAGAAAGAATCAAAACATAGTTAAGAAATACATAATTATCTATTTTTAAATAGATTTTAAAAATAACAACATAAAATAAAAGTAAGTTAATATAAACATGAGTTTGTTCTCAGTTCATCCCAAAAAGCATTGTTTAATATTGGCTTATAATCTACTTTCCTAAATTTTATAGTGAAAACAAATGTAATTTCACTGAAAGAGTAAAACTATTTTTAAAAAAAA